AAAACGGTAGGTAAAACGTAAGCCTTACTATCTGTGTTGGCTGATTCGCCTCTCCTGAAGTGAGAGAATACCATTTAGATGTGTGCCGCATTCTGAAATTCAAAATCCTATTTCTTGAATCTACAATTGAGATTTCGACTGCGATTCATCTATCGTGGTGACGTCAAACCGCGATCCCAGGTCTTTTACAATCTTGATCCAATTTATTCACGCATAAATATTTTACACCGCCATCCACGGTCCGAGATCAATACACGACGTATATAAACGTGCCTGGTGGACCATATTGTAAAACATTATCATCATAATTTTCGAAGATATATGCCACGTGGCAGCTGATACGGAGACACAGATACTTAAACGATAGTTATATTATTATAAAATTTGGTATATTATCTCTGGACGACATGAGTAGATAACCTTCGCGTAGATTTTCTTTAGCGCCCAGCATTTTACAAGAATTGTCGCACGCTATATTTAATTCGAACTCATGGATTGCTTGCATAAATGAGTCAAAACACAGACAGCAGAATTCCATATTGCTATCGGGCGCAAACACGTTGGATGATTTAGATACGTTTCGGGACGACTAAGTAATCAGAATGAAATTAGATGAAGCACCTGCATTGGATTATACGACATTGCAGTTATTATTACATTATAGCATCTCATATAGCAGCTATAGAACCAATGGGTTTACGTAAAGTTTTTTCTCGATTGACCTCAGTCATACCTTAATATATTTAAAGCTTCAATACTGACAACCACGATCAGTGAACGTAAGTATCCACTCAGAAAAAGAAAATTGGAGATCTCGCTTGTTGATCGATCGATATTCTTCCGTGTATACTTGACTGCACTAATCTAGTCGTATATTTACGCGGTATAAATACTGATTAATTGAGCTGTCTCGTGATCGCATATATCCGAGACCTTTCTATCAATCTAGAAAATCTATCTATAGTGATTTTTCCTCCGCGAATTTTAAATTGTGTACTTTTCTAGCATTCAACTTCGTTAACTTCTTTCCTATTACAGTTCTTAAAATATCAGACCATCATCCACTCTGTCGGCAAGATCGGTCTTGTAATATGATAAACATCATTTTCTTGTAATAAATGCCAATTACAGCTTTACGTCGCTTGTAAAAAGAACTTATTATACCTAACCAAAAAATATAAAGGCCAGGTATCTTGAGCACCTGATCACGTACTCTTAGTCGTAAAAATTAGAATAAGCTATGCGTAAAGGAGGTAGACGCGTGTTGTACTTCGAAAGATATCGTTAAAAATTGTGTGGTTACCGAAAATATTACTGTAAACCTATCAATGCCGTTCGCGGAATATTCGATTAGTTACTATCGGTTATTGGAAAATGTCCCTTCCGAATTGTATCTTAATATATGGCGTACATTAGCCATATGTCGAAACCTTGTGCCTCGTAAGCAATATTTCAGATAGAATTTTTCGATTACCTGATAATGAGGATGCCAGTGAATGTTGGGTGTGCCTATAAATTATGTGCTTAATTACAATACATCAAAAATAATAAACGGTGTCATTAAGACAATCCCTACTAAATTTGAAGGTCTAATTTCTGTCGATGCGTTCGCGTAATCTTGTCGAGTTCATACTATGTCACCACGTCTTAATAACAAAAGACTATCCTTAGGAAAGAGAACGTGGCTGATCTCATACTTATATGCTTCTGCGCTAGGTATTGATTAATCTTTCGTCAAGTGATTGACGTAAAAACAACACGTTATTGCATTCTTTTCAACCCAATTTTGCATTAAGGCGCTACTACGCGCGATCGTCTTACCACCAGACATATGGGGCTTATACCAATTTACTTATGTACAATCTACTTCCACAGTAAATTTTCGATGTTATACTCATTAGATCGGTCACATATATTCTTAATCTCTCTTGAATATTATTGACTTGAATGCTCCTTTCATTATATAATACATCACCCGGATAGAAGTATGCCATCGTCGTGTTATGATATTATACCCCTTGTCCTGTAATTTATATTTAGGCCCAAAAGGTTTGTATGTTAAGTCTATATACGCTTAATAATTTTTGCGGATTCATCTTTAATTATTTGTCGATCGCTTCTTTTCTTTGTTCGGGGTCTAAAACGAAGACACTCCTAGGCCCCAAATATAGAAAGGAGGAGATTGTGCATCTTGTTTGTATATTATACCACTAAGCAAGGGGCAAATTTATTAGTTGCGCATCGTCGAACATCGGCATATTGCACCTAAGACATCAAATTATCAATTAATTGTGCATCCGACTTTTGCCAGTAAAGTTATTTATAAGACTGTCCTCTAATACTATCGGGTAAACCGGAGCTATAAGGACCGGTACCGATCTATTAGTGTACATCAGATTACATTACAAATTCTGCTTTACCACAGCCCTATGATATTCCGACGCCTGAAGAATAGAGGACAGGTGTTTTCGAAACAGCAAATTCGTGAGCTTACTTCACCAGATAAGTGCTGAAAGGAACAATATCTTTCGACTTGGGACAACAAGAACACGTGGCCGCCTTTATAACGCTTCGAATGCTTTCGGCTTGGTCTGCTCCAAAGTGAAGTATCACACATTAGTGCTTCCAATTATGCAAAACTTAGGTTGTTGGAGATATTTAAACACCAAATGACATAAAAAATGGATGCATCTTAAATAGAGAAAAATCCGCTAGATATGAAAATAAATAAAAAAAGGACCCGCTATTCACCACTCAATTTTCGCTAACCATCACTCACCCCCCTCCTTTAATCAAGGAACTTCATACTTTAACTCGCGCTTTGAATGGAGAAATGTAAATTGATAAAGAAATTTTGATTAAACGTAAATTTAACGCGAATCTAAATCCTCGTTAAATAGGTGCGCGTGCTTTTCAAGCTCATCCGGTCTTGCTTAACATTGTATACATCTCGGAAGGTAATTGCTATCCCACGGCGGCGCATTGTAGCCACTATTCGGGAAGGTTTCTGGTGATCAACTGCAGCTTGAATCACTGATTTGCGTTGCTCTTCAGATAGCGCGAGTCCTTGAGGACGAACAGATTGGTCGGTAAAGGATCCGTGATTGTGATCGTGGGTGCCAACTTGAACTTCCCAGTAATTTTCTCGTTCAACTCGGCGAACAGAACATTTGAACATACATCCTGTCCCACTTCGGGACCTAACACGCTTGCGTTTGTTAAATGCGGCAGCTGCTGTCACTTTTGGTGCGCATGAACACTGCAAAGTAACAGCTTTAATGTCGCCTTCTTTCTTATTCCCGACTCGCCTAGTGTGCAGAACAGTCATAATATAGCCTTCATCAGCAAAAAGTGAGTTAAGAGCAGCCCGCGCATTTTCTAGACTAGCATAGCTGGTGTTGAAATGTTCATGGTAACGATCCATGCCGGCGACGCGAGCGGTGTTTCGAATGTCGATGGCTGTGCAGCTAAAAAGGAATCATTAATACTGAGTAAGAGCGGTATCACTGTTTTTAATTCTTATTAAATTGACTAATCACAATGTATTTTAATTTGGGGTGAGTGGTGGTTAGCAAAAAGTGAGTGGTGAATAGCGGCTCCCTAAAAAAAGTCGATAACCAAAAAAATATAAGTAATGCACCCAATAGCCGAAAAAAAGAGAAAAGGCACCAGCGATGTGTATGGAATGCGCGTGAGCATATGTATGAGCCTTCGAAAACGGCTTAATAAAAGAAGTATGGTATTTTTGTTTAAATACAAATCCGTAGTGAATGGATAGAGAGTGCTCACGCGACGAGTGCCGGGCGTCGGATCGGCCGTTGAGCGTCCGTTCATCAATCTGCATGTACTTTGAGACTGATGAAAGCTGATGGCACGCAAAATCGACCAGGTAGCATACGTAACATCTGCAAATTATTTAGTATGTACCGAGCAATCGGCCTCGTCTCGAATTAGTAGTATGTGTTTCCACGGTTCGCAGCCAGTAGATGTGGACGCTTGTTGTTGCTCATATGTCTGTGGCACGGTATGTGTGGACGCTAGTGTTGCTCTCGTATTTGTGGCACGACAGGCGCTCGTTGTACGAACAATATTTTGCTATTCGTTTCGTAATGGTCGTAAAAGAAGCAAAAGCTTGCAATTACTACCACGCAGACGCAACACTTATTGTTTGGCGACTCTGTAGTTCGGGCAATCGATAAAATTGTGCAAACCAGTCAGCAACGATACGTTTTGTATAAATGCCATAAACCGCATCCACAAGACTTGTCAATGACAAGTGTGCATCTGTATAATTAATGTTTTTCTTCACAGACGCTTTCCTACGTGCGGAAGGTCTCTTACGTTTTGTTGGTAGGGCTAATTACGTTTATGTCCGGCATGATGGCAGTCTTGGTGATCAAAATAGTGGCAGATGATTAGATGCAATAGCACCAACATATATTTGCTGGTTCTTTAATAATATGTCTGCTCTTGTTGCTTGTCTGTATGCCATCTCGAGCTGCCTGGGTCGTGCCTTTCACATCCAACACAGCACTGTCTACGCCCTCCAGTAACACCCACTTGGCGGCTGGAATGCGGTTCACTTTGATGTTGTATCGTCCCTGGGCGATACAAACGCCTCCAGCCGTCTTTGTGCACATGTTCTAGTCACTTCAGCACTATATGCCTCTCCCAGGATCTTGACATCCTTGTTTTCGCGAACCTCGCCAGAGTACACGCGACCGAAAGCACTGAACGTGGTGCCATCAGGAGACGAGTGCATTTTGCGATTTTACCATCAACGGCGCCTTCGGGTCGCAAGACTGGATACCTCGCACGATATGCAATTCAGAAGACTAATTGCCGGTATAAATGTGCTCGAATTTGGTCTGCGCGGTCGCAAGCGGTGAATGCACGTGAGCCACGATCGTATCTGCAAAGCCAGACGTTACGTTGCCAACAAAAACTGCCAAGCGCAAACTTGAGTATCGGTCGCTGGTTCAGATTCTTTCCCTCTTTTCTCAACCGTATTTCCACGGCCCGTAGTGATGCAGCGAGCTGTTTTAGAATACCGTTAAGCACCTTCGAGTACATTTTGTACAGTGGCTCCAGTAAAACTGGATAAAAGACCTCAATGCGCCAGGATAGGGCTACAAGCACGCCACCAATCGACAGAACAAACACAACGCAAAAGCACAACAACTCAGCGGCCCGTCCTGCGAACGTCAGATAGCGTCAACTATACCGACTTCTTCGTAAACGTCCTCGTCTGCGGATTGTAGTACTTGTCTCCCCAAAACTGCGCTGCCAAAGTCGCTGATGGAACACCAGGGTACATCTCGGCATAAATCTGTGCAAACGACTCAAGCGTAAAGCTCCATCCGTGTTACCCCGAGGCAAAGCACGCGTTGCCCAGTTCTGTCGATAGCTGCTGCTTCTTCTGGTACGCCGATGTCTGTGCGCGTCAATAATTGCAATCACTTCGACAATCATGTGCAGCAACTTGAAGTACGCATCAGCAGGTGGCAATGTGGGTCTGATGATCAACCGATCCACCTTGTTCAGCACCAACACGATTGCCACCTAAGCTCGCAACGCGGCTCCCAACGCGCGTTCCGCCTTTATAAAGCATTGACAATTTAGACAGCAGTAACACAGCAATAACACCGTCCAATGTAGGAGCAATGACGTCAGCACACTCGACAGAAACAGCATCACGGCTCCCGCGTTCACAGTTTATCATCACGTCTTCAATAGCGTCCACGATCAGCCCACTCCATCATCGATCTGTAGCGCAGCTTTTGTCTTGACTAGGATACTCACGTGGCCAGGACAGTCTATGACGTTCAGCAGGTCATGCTTGTCCCGCGACGTCGCTGCACGAGCGACACGGGCGTGCTCTTGATACTGACGTGGCACTCCTAGCATGACGAAAATTGTCATTGTCAGTGAAAGGTTCATTCATGTCTCCGTCCTCGACTTGCAATGTCCAAGTGCATTCAAGTTGACGTGCGAGTAGTGGACGCTAACGTGGATGAAACGATATCACCACCGGATGGCAGTTTCTCTGACCCCCTTGACCAACAGAGAGGATCGGCTGTCGGATGATGGAACGGCAACTTCTGTTCAAGTTTCCAAACGTGCACAGACCCGTCATGAGCGCCCGACATAAGCTAAAATGAGCCGGAACAGCAAACTGCGAGACACGTGTTACTCGCCTCGTGGGCTCGCGGGAGCTCAAAGACCTCTGTACCATCTTTCTCGTGCAGCTTTAAAACACAATCGATCCAGCACTAGTGCCGCCTACGCCATAGTCACCATCGCTGTCGAAGTACTGGACTGGACCTGCTGTGTGAAGCTCCATGCTCCATAGCTTTTCACCGTGGAGATTGCACTAAAACACCTCGCTTCGCATTGTGATGCATACGCACGACCTGTAGTCGTTGCCAAACGAAACTGACAAGATCCCGGATGGACACTCTTCCGAGCTTAGTTGAGCATGGCTGTACAGTACCGCTGCTTCAAGATTGAATACGTAGACGTCCCCATTTCGAGTTCCTGCTGCACCGAATTGCTCATTGCTGTTGACAGCCAAGCACCAGACGGACTCTCTAAAGTCTAGAAAGGTTCAAATCGGGGTGACGTTGATGTCACTTGCCGTATAACTCCAGATTCGGATACTCGAGTCCCACGAACTTGTCAAGAAACGACGTTGTAGGACGCGTATGGCTGAGATGCCGTCCGATGCGCGACTACCGTGCCCAGCACTTGCCCCGTTCTGGCCGAGACCATGTGCACGGCGTTAACCCATGACCCACATAGCACGACACTTTCATCAGGGGACACATCACAGCATGAAAGCGCAAACTTGCCAGACACACTGTGGAACGGCGTCACACCTTTGGTCGAAGGCATCTTCAGTGAGCTGTCCTTGCTGGTCGTGAATACAAAAGAGCCGTCTCTGGAAAGAACGGTGCTCGTGACTTCCCCTTTGTGCAACCGGCTCGCTGATCTTTGTTTCCAGCCCCACGATAAGGACAGACTGTGTTTTGTTCGTAGTCTGGATTTCCACTTCTTACGTGCTTTGCCTGATCTCATACTTCCTCGCAAACGGGCGGAGACCCCTTCCATAGTGATTGGAAAGCACTGTAAGGAGGTCTCCGAACAAATGAGGCTGTACTGGTGCCAACAACTTTGACGATCGTAAACTGGCAACGAGCTTTCGTCCGCTCCACCTTCAGACTCAGTGTATTCCTCCAATGCAGTTCGTGTGCCTTCGTGCCAATGCTGAAAACGAGACTTGGCCAACATATCGAGAAAAATGAAATTTGCGTACGTACGCCAATTTTCACGTGCTGCAGCGTAATAAGGCACTTGGCGGGCAGTTTGTCGCTGCCAAAGAACAAAGCGCAACTGCTGTTCTGTTGTGCATTGCGCCCAATTGGTACGTCACCTATGCTGCCAGTACTTTTGTAAATGTACGGGTGGTCAATGCCTCGTGTCCGCATGGCAACAACTTGTTGGGTCTTGGACGTCAAGTATACCACCGGTTTAGTCTCTGTAGACCCATTGCTATTGGATATGTCTGAGTGAGTTCGAATCGGTCCGAAACATTCGGTCATGGGTTTAAAATCCATGGAGCGAAAAAGGAACCGCAAAATGGGTACCTGTAAGTCGTGAGGCACGAAAAAAGTCCCCGCGTACAAACTTTGAGCCTGCCGGGCACTTCCTTTGGTGTAGTGGCCCATGGCTCGAGATACCAACGCGCGCAATGGTCCTGCAAGCCATCCAAGCAGCAAGATTAGCAACGAGAGGTGCCACGTCGAATCCCATAGTTTATGATCATACTGGAAAGTGTCCAGCGTACGTCCAAAAACCATTCACCGTCTTCTAGCAGCAGGAGAGAAAAACGCGTTGCCTGGACAGTCTTCGTGCTGCGACGGCGATTCGACATGTCGGGAGGTCGCTGGTGCTCTCAGAAAGAGCTACTGGACAACCTACGATCGACTTCAAGGCTCCCACGCTGCGTAACTTGTCGATAATGATGTTTAGCTCGCCGGCTCTACATGATTTCAATAACCTAATATATGTTGCAATCGATGACAAAAAGTGCAGCTATTCGTGACAGGTACGAGATCTACAATGTATCTTATCAATATTGGCTATGAAATGAGTCACTCAACCATGTAAAAAGAGGATATCACAACGATTCATTGATCGTAATAACCAAGTTCCATGCTAGCCAGCGCACTTACCCGCATACAAAAGCCCTTGTTCATGTGACAACAAGTTAACACATTTCGTCCCTCTCGGCTTCACGTTGCGCCAATTTCGTATGCGATCGTGCGTATATATCCGTGTTATGCTTCCTCCGGATTCATCTTCTATAGACTTGGAAGCAGCTATTGCGCCGTCTCTGACACTAATTAGCACATGCGTTCCGAGTTCTTGCAGACTGACATATAACACGGATCTTCGTAGATGAATACATTGCTGTCCGAAACTGTATGAGATGATGATTACTCTGACTACTCCGCTCAGCTATTCCCCGTCACAAGGTGCACTGCCGCCAGCTCCTTCTTCAAGTTGCACACAACTTGGCACACTAGCTCTTTCTTGCAGACGTCGCAGACAACAACGGCGCGCAGTATCAGTATAGCATCCCCGATGTCTACAATATCATCTGCCTTGGACTCGTACTTGTTTCCGGCGTTTTCCAGTATGGTGGCATCTCAGTCTTACAACACAGAGAGACAACGCGATACCTGGGGTACGAAGTGGGGACAGGGGCATTATTCGATCGAAACTGGGCGCTTCGGCTTCAGAAAATCCGTCGGCGGCTTCTCACTGCAGCGAAAGTAGCGACTAGTGTGCAACATCGTGTCCTCATTCTTAACGCGATCATTTTACCGGCTATCCTGTTCACCGCGGCCGTCTTCGATGTGCCGAGCTGGGCGAGAACGGAGATATCTCGGCTGTACCGCCAATTCCTGTGGGCGCACGCTTCTATGCCTGCCGTACGTCGGCACAAAATTAACCCGGGTCTCCTCTTTACGCCCCAGAAGGCAGGCGGGGTTGGTCTGGCCTCGTTCGAAGTAGCCGTCAAAACTCAGCGGACGAAGCACGCGTTGCGTTGGCTAACGCAGCCGCATGACAAATATTTTACAGCATGGCGGCGCTGGACATATAGCGTGGGAGGTTCCACATCGGCTCTCGTCCCGGCGCTCCATCCGTCTGCTTCAACAACGTTTGACATCAGGCGAGGACCTGGTCGTTCCTCTCTGGCGCAGGATCTCGAACGGCTCCTAGCACCCTCTCCTGAACAAGTGCTGTCGATTCGGGCCAGATTGGACGCGCATCACGCTCGTATGTCTGTAGGGGCGAGCAGTCAGTGGGACGGTGACGAATGGTTAATTTCATACCATCAAACGTTTCCTGACCATCCCGCTGTTTCTGATCACCGGATGGATACATTAGCCGCTTTCTGGGGCCGCTTTCACTGGGATGGCAATCCTTGGATTCAAGGGCCAGACGGCAAGCCCCTAGAGCGGGCCAAATATGCCCGGATACCTCCATGTTCACTGCGCAGTCTGTGCATTCGGCGACTGGGGTCACATGAATTTCAATTTACGTTCCCGTCTCTCGGCGGTACTCCGTCTCGGCATATGCATTGTAAATTACAACGTTGGGCGACTTCGATCCTGCTCTCGTCACCCCACCTTGCTGTCGGTGCGGGACCGGTAGAGCCCGGGCTCGTCTTACGTCATCCACCGCCGTTTCGGCGCGCTTATAAATGGTCCCGGGTACGAGCTGATTTAATTGTCGGGTCATGTCGGGACCCTGTCGAGTCCGCGAACTCGGCGATTCGCCTCCGCCAAGATGTCAATGGAATCCATTGGTCGATTGACGGGAATTTACCAGAATTAAGGGGGTCGCCTGAGCAAGTGTCTAACTACTGGGAGCATTCGCACCATCGTACCTTGGTGTTTCATGCCCACCCGGAGCTTCACCGTTTCCCTTGGAGTGTGCCAGAGACGGTGGCCAATGTAGATGTGTGGACAACGCTTATGAAGCAAGCGTTTCACGTTCATAAACGCCTTCTGCACCCTGGCCTCCAGTCCTGGTTGAAGGCCTATGACGCGCAGGCGGTATCGAATAGTTGGCAGTCAGCTGCATCAAATCAAACGCCTTCCCAAGTTTGGAAACACGCAAACGGGCTAACGGAGTATCAAGTCTGGACATGCTATCGTATCGCGACAAAGCAGCTAAATCTATACCATGCCGGTCGCACGCTGGACAACAGTTGTCGTACGGTGCTGCACTGCCGGGGACGCAAAGAGACAGCGGCGCACATTTTCTGGGAGTGCCCAATCGCGCGAGCGTGTTGGTGTCTCTTGATAGGACACTGGACCGGTGGGGGTGCGACGAACGCAGTTCTTTCCACCTTCTTTCAGCACTGCGCCAATCGCAAAGCCCCGCCCATTCCACGTCAGCTGAGTTTGCGGTTGCAAAGCCGTTTTCAAGATGACTCTGACGCCGCAGCAACAGAATTCGAACGGATCTGGTTCATATTAAGCTCCATCTGCCAAGAACATTTGTGGACCGAGCGGAACTCGGCGGTCTTTAGAGGAGCCGTGACTACTCCATCCGCAAGTGTCCAAAGGTACTGGACACGCGGTGTTCGCCAGCTACGGGCAATTGCAATACGCGAGCATCGAGCCGCGGCTACGGCCGTACGAGGGGCCCGACTTCATGCCTGTCTTGAACTACTGATTCAAGAGCCCCGTGGACACCCGCCCTACGCGGGTGTCAGCCACGATCCGCTGCCGCGACCGGCGCTCATATCCTGGCTCAGGATTTTTCAGACCTCTTGTCCACATTAAATATGTCAATAGATGATCATGAAACTCCTCCTCCTTGTTTCCGGCGTTTCAATGGCAATCAGTGACTCGAAACGTAGCGGAACGACCTTATCAAGCGGAGCCTTGTAGTCACTCTTCGAATTCCGGAGTGTGAAATGCGCTATCTGGCTCCTGCTTGTTTTCGTGAAGAAACTGTCATGCAAAAGAAGTGAGCGAGAGATTCTCGCATTCGATTCATGACTGTCGTGACGGTCAGCTGCAGCTGCCAAACCCGCCCGCTCTATCGATCTGTTGGCCAAGATTCTTTCACCAATCCTGGCGCACATTCGCAGCAACAACCGTCTTTATCTGTCTTTGACCGAAAAAATGGAAGCGGACTAAGCTTTTGCAGATAACGGTCAAAACTCGGAACAAATGTAGCAATCACGTCCATAAGACCAAGGGTTCTACAATCGATTCATTTGCGTCATGAGACTCGCATCTTCTTCGCAGGTCACTCGGCCATAGAGCCTTATGTACATGGTAATCGAAAATAGACAGATAGAGCACATGACAAGATGTCGTTGTCATGATCACATCTGAGAGTATAGTAACTACAGCTTAGACAATTGTACAGCTCAGCCAATGCAATTGAACTTTTAGGGTCAGACCTCAGTTGTCGATGTAGAGCTTTGTCAGACATTTTGGCATTTGTTACGAGTGGAGCCAACTCACTGTCGACGTGGACTCTTAAAAAGCATCGTATCAGCAGCTATGAACTGTTGGAAACAACAGTCATTGCTGCATGACGGAGTCAGTGTCTTAGCACCCCACGATGATGAAGCGCTTCATGGGAGGTAAGGAAAGGTCACTTGGTTCAAACAGTGGCATTTTGTCGGTAATCGTCCCCTAGAACAAGCAAGTCTGAACACCCCTTACTCCTGTGCTACTCACACGGCGTCGGCATGCTCGATTTGAGAGCACCGTATATTCACGGACAGAAAGACCGCCCTCCGAGTCTTTGAGAACACGAGCGCATGCGTCGCCGTCAGTTGGTAAGAAACATATGAAGTACTACTACGCAGTGATACCAATCAGATTGGGTCTTGCTAGCAGCAGCTGTAGACGAGACACTAAAACGGCAACACCTGACTCGTACTAAGGCTCAACGAAGCCATATCCTTTGCTGCCGTTTACTGTGACTAAATGTATTTCACTGCTCATCGCCGAAGTCGTGTTGGCGTATCGTTCTACAGAGGCAAGCTAGCTAGTCCCACAAGCACTTCAACAGCGGGTGTCTTTTCGGCTATCCCCTTCATGCGCATGGAATAGGCTTTATGCGTTGTTTGTGGCTTGATATAGTTGGGAAAAGAACGAGTATCCATTCAGGTGTTCGTGCGGTAGTCTTCGATATGTTGTCATGTTAGCAGAAGGTTTTGCTTTACCGCATTTCCCGATGGGTCAATTTCAGAATAGCTGCACCCGTTGTGCTGAATATGTTTTGGCTCAACGGTGTGAAACTTCCAGTGTTTGACAGGACATTGGGTGACGACGGCCAAGTTGTACACAAGGTTGCGCTGAAGATGAGTTGAGGAAGCGTGCGTGTGCACATTCCTTGCAATATGCTCAACAATTGCAAGCATACGTGTTTGGCTCTAAGCAAAGGCGCTCATGCGTGGTAAGGCAAGCTCCAGGAGGTGATGGTTTTGGCCTCTCACAGACAAAGAGAGATGACAATCGAGATATCAAACTGGATGTAAAGAGGATCGCATTGACGTCCAGACGCAGCTCCTAGCTCATTGACAAACGGTCCTGTGCGTTACCTAAATGTCATCTCAAAAGTCACTTACACTGACATCGCCCATCTCAAAGCACACGTATTGCATATCGATCTCGCAAACTTGTGTCACATTAAATTGATTTACAGAAGTCACCGTGACAACAACTTTTGCAAGTGGCCTTCTAGGAACCCATACTCTCTGCATCTTCTCGACCCAGTGCCGCAGCCCTCTTCCTAGCGATTTACGTCTGCGTATCAATCGCATCACGTGACGATAATGACGATGATAACGAAGAGATGATTTCCTCTTCATTCCCTGATGATGATGACGACGATGATGATGGGTGGTGATATCGCCGTGGAGTCGCTTGGCAGCGCAATGTCTGCCATTGCCGAAGTAGGTGCTCCGGCTATCGTCAAAGTTGCATAATGACCAGTGACGTGCCCGTTATACCGTTAGCAACGAGTGCCTGGTGTAACAGGTAGTTCTGGTGAGGATCCGTCGGGGCTTTGAAAATGGTTTTGGCGGGGCAATCCTTTGCAAAAGGCACGATGGACCACTTCAACTTTGCACCATTCCAGCACGCTCGAAACTTCTTCTTCTTAGCGTTAGTGCTAGTCACCCAGCGACCATGCTTGTTCATGAGCACGCTCGCTCCCTTCTCCGTAATGCTGGGCTCGTTGATTGCCCACGACCAGACGTAAGCGGCCATCTTGGCTACGTCGACGTTGTCCAGAGCAATGAGATTAATGTTCCAGCGCAAAAATTTGGGAATTGATTCAGCGTTCAAGAACACCGGCAGCTCTCGCGTAAATTTTCCAGTTGCAGACAGGGAGATGTAGCGAAGCTGCTCTCCCCACGTACGGATCCAGCTTGTGCCGCTGTAGACCGTCAGTCCGTCAATTTGTCGCTTTCTGTCAGGCATGTCATCAACGTGTTCGACCTTAAGATCCTGTGAGGTGCACATGTCATGCAACTTATAGGCACTCGCCGTCTTGGAGTTTGCCAGGGCCAACACTCGGTATCCTGCTTTGACAAACCCCTTGATGCTACCACCTGTCCACTCGTCTTTCGCAAGCTTATCAAGAGCTTTCGTTGGAACAAGCAAGTCACCGAACGTATCGATCAACAGAGTGTCCATCGCGCCCAGTTTGTCCAATCGCGTCATATCATGACCCGTGTCCATGTACACCACAACGAACTCTGTCGGGTGCGCCTTGATCCAAGCCTTGACTTCGTCCAAAGAGTCTTGCGTCATTGGCTGCTCCGAAGCCTTGATGCCAGAAATGGAAGGGAAACAGCCCAACAGCTCTGCGCCCCAGGAAAACACGCCATAGTTACCGAGCGTCTTGCCCAATGTCTCGATGGACTCAATTACAGTAGGCATCTTAAGAGCACCACAATGTCCATTGCGTACGTCGTTCAGGAAAAAGTGGACGTCAATCTCAACGAAACGGATGCCAATGTCGAGCTGGTCGGTCAAACTTAGCACTTGGTTGTTTGTCAGCAAGTATGACCACGGTTTGTCCGCATCCAGATTTTTGTTGAAAAGCTGATCACGATTTCCAAAGCCATCAGCTAAGGTAATAGCGCTGTTGTGCGAAGCAGGAAGCTGCGCGAGGCAAATCGGACCGCTGAACGCTAGATTGCGTTGGTAAGCTAGAGTCGACTCCAGCCAGTCCGGAACAATGACTGAGCCTCTGTCACACACGCGGCTGCACACCGACTTGTCTCCGCTGCACTTTTCTACAAAGGTGCAGTTCGTGTCGACCAAATTGTTCTTGCCCGGGTCGTTCGCACCAACGTGACGAAGCATTCCAAGATCGTCGGCCATACCCTTCGGGTTCTCGCACTTACCGACACGGCATCCCGCAGTCCCTGCAAGAGTGTCGACAAAAGCGCCATCCGGATCCTTGAACGAGACCATGCCGCTAAAGACGTCCCATACTGGGTCACCGACAACATTCCTGACGGAGCCTTGTATCGTCTGAATGAACGGCCGCATGTGGTGAACACAGCAGCCGAAATCGATGGTCGTTGCTGTCTTCTTGGACGCCGTGTCCGTATACGGGTTCCCCGACAAACCTGAGCATTCCTCACCGGCGCCAATGGTCATGAACGGCAGCACCATGTGCTGAAAAAAGTCAAAGCTCTTCACCGTGTACATACTCGTGTACGATTTAAAGATATGGAGTCCACAGGAATCGCGACCCTTTTTCGAGCAGAGCATTTGGTTAAAGCCATTGATGAGTCCGTTCACCAAGAAATGGCTCATACTCTTGTCGGGTGCGATGAAGATGCTCAGCAGGTCGATCAAGTCGCTGAATTCCGCGCAACACTTGTCGTCCTTTTGCAACACAGGCAGCAGTTTCGGGATGACTTTCCCTCCGCACGGTCCGAACGCGTCACTAAAGGCATCGCAGAGGTTGTCCATGGACTCGTCAGTGTGGCTGGCCATGTACTCGTAGACGAGTCGGGATATCTTGGTGGGCTTCGCCGTGATGTTCTTCAATAAAGCGGCAAAGTTGTGGAAATCCTCGTTCTTGACCACCTCGTAGATATCCAACATGCCACATCGGCTGAAGATGGTGCTTGCAAGGGCCTTACTGACGGTCCGCACGTTGTTGGCCACGCAAGTGTTGATGCCGTAGGCTGTTGGCAGGCTATCCACCAGAAACCCAAAGGTTTTATTCTTGGCTTGACACTCAATAGCCTGCACTTCACTCGACGAGATGGGGCACGTGAGAACAAAGAGACCAACGAAGACCGAGAGGGCCCATCGACGCAGGTTCATGTCTCTCTCTCACTTCTGCTGTTGTCAAACAGAGCAAAAGCTGTGGTCGTTCTGCAATGAACCAAATACTTACTTGCTCTGACAATGACTGACAAATGGTGTGCGATGGCTGGAAAATACGGTTGTGTTTGCGTTGACACTGCAGTGGTCCCATCGTCCTTTTGCAGCACATCTTTATAGACGGTGTCATATGGCTGCACGGAACAGCGACACGTTGCCGGCTATCCACCGCATTCAGATTCAGATTGGGCAAGACAGGTTGACTCTGTAGTCTGCTGTGAACGATTCTCGATCGAGCTTCGCCGTTACCATTTACAGAGCGCTTAAACGCAGGCACAAGTCTCTCTCTCTCTCTCTCTCGCTTCTCACCCCTCATGAATAGACTGAAGCTGCTGCTCTAGTGCCCGAGCTGCACTTTGTCCGCCGAGAGCTGGTCGACCTTCCCACAAGTACAAAGAAAAGGTCGATCTGGTCTGCACAAAGCCCGAGCAACGTTCCCCTCGACACGTTAACATCTGTGCGGTTTATAAAAAGGTCACATGCTGTCACAGATGTTGGCGGCTACGACTTTCTGTCGACGACCAGTCATCGTGTCGACTAGAACGAGAAGACCTTACCCCCCCTCCCCTCCGCCTCTCCGAAGGAGCACGTCCGTTGATGTGCTGTCAAACAGTGACTTGATGTTGTCATTGGTTCCGTCCACGTCGACGTGTACACGGAAAGCCTCACTACATGTGCCCTGTAAGGTACGGCAGACGTCGGCTACGAACCTAAGTTCATGTACTGTTTTGCCTTGTACACCATACTAGAATTAGCTAGGCTTGATCAGCAGCTTTCGGCGATAGAGACCCGTGTAAACACTGCTACAACGACTTGAATCAGCTTTGTACGGCTAGCTAGACTCAGGGAGAACAATGACTTTTGGTGCAAGACATACAACACCTCGCAATGCTACAAATTGACTTGGACAGCAGCTCAAGAAATGCATGTTGAGATGTGTCACCTTTTGGCAAGCGAATAATTTGCACGCCGCCTTTCGCACACGGCGTCATGTGGCAGCTCACGAGCGCTTAGCAAAGGCGTGTGATTTATCCTGGTACGGGAAGATATGATGTAGAGCGAAGAAAAGTACCAAGAAAGACACACTGTCTGGATCTGCTGCGAATAGCTGATCGGTGCTGTCAACAGGTCAAGATTCAGCGGACGAGTGTCCTTTCCAGAAGCCAAATGTTCAGCATTTGCATATGCTGCATCAGCATGAGTGCCAGCAGCAGATGTCACTAAACACCTGGAGGCCTGCCAATAACAGCTTGTGAGAATATCTGTAATGGGGCACTGTTGACTACGTACTGGTTGACCAGTACGGAGTATACTTTCACTGACGACAGTGGTCGACAGTGCCCTGCTAGGTGTTTTAAGGAAACACAGAGGAAGGAAAGGAGACAAAGTAGTCAGACTAGTCTCTCGGTAAAGGTAAAACTGTATTAATATAATTAAGTCCTATCACTCCTTGAATCTCTGTTGTCCTGACTTAATTATATTTATCTAACTAAACGTATGATGACGTCTACTCACCACCCATTGCGCGCGTCTAGCAGCGATTGGTGGGTTGATATCATCACAATATCAATCAATGAGTAGACCCTTCGGTCATCCCAACAATATCATCATCCTTTGTGATATTGTTGAAAGAACATTCGACGTAATATTCTTTATTGTCAAATTGTCACTATAAGGAAAGTGACAATAAAGAATATAAAGATGGATATTCTTTAAACAATATCACCAAAGTGGTGATATTGAAGGGTCGACCAAAGGGTCTGTTCATTGGTTGATATCGTGATGATATCAACCCACCAATCGCCGCAAGACGCGCGCAATGAGTGGTGACGAGACGTCACCATACATCCAGTTATATTAGTATAGTTAAACTAAGTCAAACAGAGAGACAGTAGTTTAAAGATTTAATTATATTAATATAACAGTTCTACTTTTACCCTACCTACGCTTCCTCGCTTGCCACGTGTACGTTCGTCGGGGCACCCAAAACCCTTGCGTTAAGTTACGCAAGGGTGTGCCCCGTTACACCTGGTAGCACTTTGTAGTCCTTCCAAGGATTAAATCATCCAACATGAACATGTTGGATGAAGAAGACACCTTTCACGCCACGCGTGAAAGGTTTACCCATTTGAGTGACATCGAATGGGGTGCGGTAGAACGAATGATTTCTACCGTAGGCGAACTCGTCGTTAGCGCCATGTTGGAGTCTCTAGACAGAGACCAACAACATGCCGCTATAGCCAAGTTCATCCAAAGTGAACTTGTCGCCGAAAGAAAAAAGTAGCCTTGCTTCACCAGCAAGGCTCTCAACAGGCCGAGCAGTTGAGAGAACTCGGTGCTCAACAGACGGAGCTGTTGAGACAGTAGCAATTCCATGCTGCTGTGGGCGGGACGGCGCATGCGCGTCGTCCTGAAGTCATGAAATTTGACATCTCCAAGTACAGTGGAGTCCCGGAGGACTCCCTGTTACTATGGTTTGTCGAACTCGACAGAGCCCTAAGGGCTCATCGCGTCGAAGATGAGCAAATGAAACTCACATTTGCTCATACCCACTTGGCAGGGCGTGCCAAAACTTAGTCCCTGGGGCTCGAGAGTAGCGACCCAAACGTGTTTAGGTCGCTAGATGAATTCAAGTCCCGGCTTAGACAAACGTTTAAGCCGCCACGGGCTGAGTTCAGGGCTCGTTCAGAGCTCCTGAAACTCAAGCAGGGTAAGCGTGATGTGCACGCTTACGCACAACATATACGACTCCTTGCGAGTAGTATAACTGCTAACCCAGTACATGAACACACGTTGATTATGGTGTTCATGAAAGGGCTCGCAGAAGGGCCCGTCAGGAGCCATCTGTTCCTCCTTGAGCTGAGTACGCTTGAAGAAGCGATATCAGCCGCGGAACAAGAAGACTTTAGCATGAGACAGGCTCATGCTAGCTCAAACTCTTATCGTCCACCGAGACGACAAGAGATCGGAGGTCCAGAACCAATGGACCTCTGCCATGTTGAGAACGAGAGACCTCGCTCTTCAAACAACAAGCGATTGCAGAGGTGCAATCGCTGTCAGAAGTTAGGGCACTACGCATACGAGTGTAGTGCTCCACGCCCAGTACCAAACAGTACTGATCGAAATGGACGACCATTCGCCAGAAAGGGCAATGGGCGTGGGCCCAGCGCTGTTGCGAAGCCGCAACAGCGAGACGGACCATCAAAAAAATGGTCGGGGTCAGTAGGGGCGGAGCGCCCTACTGATCCAGCAACCTCAAGATAATTTGCAAATCTCTTGACGAAAGTTGCTTCAGATACACAATCATTGTGTGTCTCTGCACCTGGTGATGACGTTTCGCTCATAACCTTGAAGTTGGAAGCGACAAATAATTTGTCTCTTTGTGCCCTAGTAGACTGTGGGGCGTCGAACAACTTTGTTCGTCGCCAGTCACTAGAGGGTCGTAGGCTCAAGTTCGTTGAGCGCGACATTCCCCTCACAAGGATGACGGTGCGCCTTGCAACAGGCGCATCGATAACCGTTGAGAAACGTGTAGTAGGAATCCACTACACGTTAGAGGGCGAACAGTACGATGATGACTTCATCGTGCTAGATCTGGATGACAAATTTGATGTCATCCTGGGATTACCTTGGCTCAGAAAGTACGAGCCAAGGGTGAGCTGGCAGCATCGATCCGTGAAGATGCCTGCTGCTTGTTCATCAGATAGCCATCTGATGAACGTCATGGAGCGTCCACAAGCGCGTGGGTGTACTACGAGTGAGTGCGATGGCCTCACTTGTGGTACGGTCGTTAGCACGACTGTACAAGAACACAATGTAGATGATCACTACATTGTGGAGAAAGCTCTCCCAGATCCTGTGGAAGTGTTTCCCAGGAGGTAATCGAGACACTGAATGTCTTGGTTAATGACGGATCAAGCGTAGGCGCTTATACGCTTGATCTGATTGTGCCTCCGAAGTTGAATTCGGAGATAACTCAGTTGCCAACGCTAGAACCGAAACGGTTCTTGCGTGGTCTGCATAGTGGCAAAGTCAAGCAGATCTGTGTACTCGTCGCGGAGGACGAGTACGTAACCAATATTCGATCGGCGACGGTGTTTACTGGGACCGAGAGGGTTCTCAGCAGTTCATCGATGGACGAAAGTGTCATCGATGAGAAGAATCGGATTGAGAGATATGAATCTCAATACTGGAAGTCGCTTCAGGCAAATCCTTTGTATAAAGATTTGATCGAATTCAAGGACGTGCTCCCTGAATCCGTACCTCGCGAGTTGCCTAAGGACAAAGGCACTCGACACGAGATCGAGCTCAAACAGGGCTCGAAGCACTGTGTCATGAAGCAGTGGCCACTGCCTCGTGAACAAGTGATAGCAATCGACAAGCTCTTTGCCGATCGCTTAGCAGCGGGCCATGTGAGGGAATCAACATCCCCTCACAGCTCTCCGACCTTCTGTGTGCGAAAGGCCACAGGAGGGTGGCGGATAGTGCACGCATTCAACAAATTGAATGCTGCAACGGTACCGGCTCAGACGCCGATACCGAGGAAGGACGTAATCATAGATGGTGTGTCAAAGAGTACCATCTTTTCGTCCATGGATCTGATGGACGGATTCTATCAGATCCTCATGCGTGAACGGGATGATCCGTACACAGCAGTGAGCACCCCCAGCGGTATGCTGTAGGAGTGGCTAGTGATGCCACAGGGGCTGAGTAATGCCCCTGCAATATTCAACAGATGTCTTACAAATCTGTTAAGACCGGTGTGGGATTTCGCACTGAGTTATTTCGATGATGTGTTCGTCCATAGCCGGGCTATGGATGGAAGGAGGGACGTTGAAGTCCACCGAACTCACGTCCGTAAGGTTCTTCAACTTATGCGCAAGCATAAGTTGTATGCCAACCTCAAAAAGTGTATATTTGCAGCCAGCGAAATACCACTT